TAGAAAACAAGATGTTGCGACGCGTTTCGTTTTATTTAAAAATAAAACTCATCAGGCAAGTTTTTTTATATATCTCTTTATAATAATTTGTAATATAAGTCCTCTATCAAATGCATTATGTCTCAAACTTTCATAAAAAAGATTTTGAAGAAAGTTTTCTAGAAAATTCCTCGCAGCGAAGCTCTAAATCCTAGAGAATTTTGCTAAAATTATTTCCAGTATCGCCATCTAAAAGAGCATAACATTCTGAAAAAACTGAAGCATCGCACAGCTCTCCACGATCTTTCGTTGCAAAGTTATAGGCAACAGAAAAGTCAAAAAAATGGTTTAATTTACGAAAAAAACCTAAAACAAACAAGCACAAGCACATTTCTCTGAATTTTCTGATGCTTGAAACTTTGCAACGAAAGATCATGGAGAGCTGTGCGATACTTCAGTTTTTTCAGAGTTTTATGCTCTTTTAGATGGCGATATTGAAAATATTTTTAGCAAAATTCTCTAGGACTTGGAGCTCCACTGCGAGGGATTTTCTAGAAAATTTTCTTTAAAACCTTTTTTCTCAAAGTTTGAGGCATACTACATTTGACAGAAAACTTCAAGGACCATCCAAATAACTATTCCGATTTGATCTAGCCACTCGATTTCATCGAAAAATTTGAAAAATACAGTGGCTCTATATAATTTTTTTCGTCCTGTATTGTTATTGATCCGTATTTATTTAAAATATGCATTTATTTTCTTCACAATCTGGCAATTAGCCACCTAATAAAAAAATCTCAATATTTTCTTAATGTAATAATTTAACATCATTCATATGAAAGTTCATGTTCATCAATTCTCGAACGATCAATAATTGTCGTTTATTTATTTATTTACAATTGTGTTGTTTCTTCCCCATCTGATATTGCATTTTGAATACAATTATTTTCACATAATTTTGTAGTAATAACAATTTTATTATCGATTGTAGCTGAAATAGTTGAAACAATGGGTGATAAAATATTATGATTACATAATGGACAACATTGATGATTTAATAACCATGGATCAACACAGTCCGAATGATATAAATGATTACATTCTATATGGAAAAAGAAAACATATTGAAATAAAAAAATCATTTTTTGTTTTTGTTTTTTTTTTCAAACAAATTTTTTGTTTAACTTACTCAATTTTCTTATAATATCACCACTTTTTATATTATTTAAACAAATGGCACACATTTCATCTTCATTTAATTGTTGTGTATTTTGAATAGTAACTAATTCATCATCCTTTAATATTTTTCTAACTCTATTTTTTAATTGTTTTTCTATACGTTCTTCTCGTTTTATTTGACGATGTTGTCGAAAACAGTGAGCAATACATGTCAAAATAATACAGCCCAAAATACAACTACCCATAATAATATAAATCTTTGTAAATATATTATAAGTAATTTTAATAAATTCAATTGTCACATTAAATCGTATATTTTCTATATTAGAGCCTAACGAAAATAAATCGTCGATAAATGTGTTCGCATAAATAGTTAACATAGTTGAAAAATCAATTGATGAATAATTATGTAATGGAAAAGGGTCTTTCTTTGTACTAAATATAATCATAGCTAAAATTTAAAAAAATTATTTTAAAAATGTTTACAAAAAAAATATTATACCTCTTGCATTATGATATTTTAAATTTTTTAGTATAATCGAATAAGAACAGTTGGTACGTCGATGAAGTACAAATGCAATCCACGATTTATTATGGGATAGTGAATAAATATTTACAAATATTTGTGAACGAAAATCACAAATATTTCTATTGATAAATATGAAAACAGGACCATGAAATGATTTTTGATAATTTGATGATGATAAGAGGACACCATTTATTTTTAAATTGATACCTTTCGAATATGTTGAATCGGAAACTAATTTCATTTGAATTGATGATAAACTAAAAACTATTGGAATTGTTAACAACAAAGTCAAAATGGTAGATATAGCAATATGTTTTTGCATCATTCTCTTACTATCGTCAATTATAGTGAAATGATAGAAGAGTTTTATTGAACATCAAATCTCTAGACTTGTTTTTCTCCTCCTGATGTCAATATTACTTCTTTTTTTTTTTTTTTCTTTATGAAAAAATAAAATTAGTTTACTTTTTATCACGTTTATCGAGAAAAACAATGACAGTTAAATAAAATTTTGCTTAATCGAGGTAATATGATTAATGTTATGTCAAAAGAGTAGTGAAGAAAGTAATAATACACCGTTTTAATTTAATAAAATCATTTACTAATGACAGAAAATAAAAGTGAATTTGACCCAAATGTTACTCTCTAAAAAATAAAGTCTCTTCTAAAAAAATGACTCAAATATCCTTTTAATTTTTGAATTTTCAAAAGATTTCAATGAAAACTTTCGAATATTGAAAAAAAAATCTTTTCCAAAACTCTTTCCATAGTAAAGTACTCAAAGTCCGTAAACATTTTTAGAGAGTACAAAAAAATCTTTTTCAGTTTCAGAAAAAACACTTTTTCTCTTCTTTTGGATCAATAAAATGAGATTTTTTAGTTAAGCCTTTTGTTCATTTTCTAGAGATCCAACAACCTCAAAACTCTTAAACAGGCATGCACCGGTTAAAAACCGTTTTTTTTTAATCCTCTTTTCGCAAAAACTAAATTGTATGAAGAGTATGACATAGCTGAGTTTTGTAGAGCAAACATTCCTCTACAAAACGAACTATAGGAGCAATCTTCATCTTGATCCAGCACTTATGAAAAAGATATTTAATAAAAGCTCCATTCATTAGTTTCGGTTATGTAATCTAAACCGATAAATGAGACTCTTCGTCTAAAGGCGATTGCAAAGAAACGAGAAAAGATGGAAAGAATCTCCATATCTCATTTTATGGAGAAATGTTTGCTCTACAAAACTCAGTTGTGAGAAAAATTTAATATGCTATACTCTTCATACAATTTATGTTCAAAAAAAGCTAAAAACATTGGTTTTTAACCGGTGCATTCCTACTCTCAACCCTTCTTTTGAATTTTCTAGAGATTCTTGATTTTCTAAACAACTAAGGTCTTAGTGAAAAATCAACTCCCATTCGTCTACGTGGAATTCTTCGTACTTTCAATTAAAAATACAGAAAGTCTCTCTACGATGAATGGTTATGGAAAAACGTGCGGTACATCGAGCATGTCTGCACAAAAAGTGTGTTCGGAGAGAAAACGCCATCCATCCGTTGGTTCATCCTAGGAGTTGTAAGAAAATGCTTGTAACTTTTTGACGCAAGGTCTTATTTTGATTAGAAAAGTTTACTCTACACATCTACACGTTCAGAAATAAATTTAATTGCATAAGTATCCAGGAAAAAACTGTTATTCGAAGTTCCTGTTTTTCGAGTCTCCTAGATTAAAAACTTGCTCGAAAACTATGAAAAATTATTTTTCAGCTTAGTTTTGTTTGAAATTATTCAAGAATCTGATCATTCTTTCTAGTGTGACGTTTCTTTTTCAAAGATTATTCTTTCTCCTTATTCGTACTCTAATTGGGTCGTTCTTCACTAATTCACTCTGTTTTTTTTGTTCCTTAGTTTATTTCCATCTTTTTTCTTCAAATTATACACTAAGCACAAATACCTGTGTTTTCTGTAAAAACTCTTTATTTTATCTGTTATTTTTTTATCCAAGAATTTTAAATTAACAAGAACAAGTGAGATTTTTTTTTGTTTTTGCTGAGATGTACTAGTATACTTTTTTTTGATAATCGTAGTTTTTTTCTTCTGTATTTTTCTAAAAATCAATTATTTAGTTAAAAATTAAATAACCAATGATATTTTCAAATGAACTATTCCTATTAAACATTCAATAAAATATAGTGAACTTTGCTCAGATGTTGAGTGCACCCCCTTAATATTAAAAGATTCGTATAATTGTTTTAAAAATCAATATCAAGACTAGATGCGATAATTTTCTTTGAATAAAAGAATTTGATGATTGATGTTACTACATTTTTCTTCTTTCTATAAATTTTTTATTGGAATTCCATGTCTTTCAATAAAATCATATAAAGTTGTTGATATTATTTTACGGTAGTCTAAATTCAATTTTTTAATGAGTGTAGCAGTAGCACATTTTAGAGAAAGTTTTGCTTGTGTTTTAATAAGAATCTCTGCTGTTTTTGTCAATGCCCACATTTCAGGCGTATCTCCATGGCTATTTACGGAATCTATATGAGCATTAGCATTAATAAGTGCTCTAATAATTGTTTGTAAATTAAGAAAATCTTTATCATTGTTCACTTCAGGATATCTGACAATAATATGTAACGGAGTATTACGTTCATTATCCAGTGCATTCACATTGGCCTGACATTCAATAAGTAAATTAACCGTTTTCTCACAGGGAAATCTATACAAAAGTTCAATTAAGTAATCTGCAAAGAATAACTTTAGTAAAAAAAGAGGTTAAACCTACTTGCAAATTTTGTCAATTTGAGAATTGTTAATATTTGTCCAGATATCTACACAAAGATGTAAAATACTGTATCCAAGTATTGTACAAGGCTTCAGATAGTTTAATCTTGTTATTAGAGTAAGAATTTGCTTTTGCTTTTCTATTGTAAATTTATCCATAGTCTAAAATATAAGATTCTGATATATTTCTATCATAGATGTATTTTAAAATGAAACCTGCCTTTGTTACAATTGTACATAAACATAAGACTGTATATATATTATCATCACGATTGTCTTCTAATGTTTCCTTTAAACTTTCATCTTCACAAATTTTGATCGCCATTATATTTTTTTGAATTTCATTGATAGTCATTTTTAACACTTGAATTAATATATCACTGGAAATATCCATGTCTTTTTCTATCATACGACAAAATAGTTCAGAAAATGAGCGAAGATCACTCTTTCTATCGGCTATACAATCTGAACTTCGATATGTGTATACACGTAACCATAACTTCAAACATTTATCAAATTTATTATTATCAGCATAAGTAGTACCTTGATCACGAATAAATTGCAATACGTCTCGATGATTAATGCCTAAAATTCTTTCCAAAATTAACAATGATTCAAATCTAAGTGCATTAAAATCTGAACGAATTAATTCAAGTTCTTGTAAAGTTTGACATTCTAGACGATAATCATATTCCATTAACGGAGGTAAGATCTGTTTATATAATGGTTCATTCGGATTCTTATATCTTAATTTCATAGCCCATTCCATACAATAATACGCCTTTTCTATACTTTGATTTTCACCATTATCAAATAAATATAAACTACCTAATAATTCGAGTTCATTTATAGCATCAATTTGTGTGAGCCAATTATTATTGAGAAAATAATTCGCAATATCACTTTTGTTCTCTTTAATAGCAATCATAAAAGGTGTTCTAACAAGATCTTTGATTTTTATCATTATTGCACCATATTCTAATAATGTTTTAACAATTGATAAATGACCATTTTCAACAGCATCATGTAATGCAGTAATACCATTTTGCCATGTTCTATTCACATCGCATCCGACTTGAAGAAGATATTTAACAACATCCAAATGACCATTGAATGATGCAATCATCAAACATGTATGACCAGACATCTTTGCTATATTAATATCAGCATTATGTTCAACCAAATACTGAACAATATCAAGTAGACCTCGATAACATGCCACTCTTAACGGTGTAGAATTACTTGCTGTACAATGATTGATTTGTGCACCATAAACAATCAATCTTTGAACAATATTAAAATTTCCAACACAAACAGAACACCATAAAGCAGTTGCACCTTTTACAGTTTCATTTTCCACTATAATAACACCCTCTATTTCCACATCAGGCTTGAATTTATCAAGAAGTATCTCGACAACATCATTATGTCCATTTAAAATAGCAATCATCAGTAGTGTACATTTCATTCCATAGTAATCCATAAGTTCACATAAATATTCATAGATTTTGTCTACGGTCAATTGTGATAAAAGTTGATCTAATGTACTGACAAGGCCATCATTAACAGCTTGATATATTTGTTCTTTTAATGAAACAACTATAGGAAGTGACTCGTGTGATGCTTGTTTCATTTTATGTTCACAAACATACGTTACTACTTTAAAATGGAAGTATTTGATTAAAGAAGTTTAAATGTTTCTTCAATGACTATGCAATACTCAGACAACAGGAATACATCACCTGTGAAAGTAAAACAATTTACATGACATGAATAACATGTTTTCTTCCGACGTATAAAATAATTGAATGAAACAAAATAAATGTGACTTTTCTATTTTATCGACTTTTTTTGTGAAGAAACGTTTCTTTAGCGTGTCGAGAAATGTCACAATACTTTTCTGCTCATCGGACATCAGAGTTATAGAATACACTAAATAAGAAGTCTACTGTAAATTTTGTCAGAAAAAAATTTGAAATTTAGAAAAAACTTATTTCTTAAAAATTAAAAATTTTAGAAATTCAATTTTTATTTTCACATGAAGTTTCAAGTAGAGATCTGCACAAGCACGGAAATTCTCATGGCAGCGGACATGCCCATGCTGTTCGCAAGCATAGAAGGACCCAGACAAGCTCAAAAAAATCATAGACGGGTAATCACTCCCTTCAACAGGCACGGAAAATTTATTAACAACATGAGGGCGAGGAATTGTTTGTAAACGAAGCATGAATAGTAAAATACATGTCTAAGAAAGGGCAATAGAGCCGTATCAAATAAGAAATATCTCTATCTTTTCATATCTTAACAAATGTTAGCACATGTCTATATACATTTCCTAACATATAGACATTTGCTAACATTTGCCAAGATGTGAAAAGATAGAGATATTTCTTATTTGATACGGCTCTAATATGACATAGGAAAGAGATCCGATATGTAAAAGAATGTATCTTTTCTGTTATATGGTTAAAATGATATGTGAACTGACGATTATGCACTTTGAATATACGTTAGGTAAAATAAAATTGATTGGGTGAATCTATTAAATTAAATAAAGTTTGTAATTAGAAAATTTTTGACGATTTTCGTTATTTCTGGAAAGCAGTAGTTTTCGAGGTAAATCAATTTTACTGAAATGGCGGAGCTACTGTGAAGTGTAAAATGCATTTATTTCAAAAACTACTGCTTTTCAGAAAAATCAAAATCGCCACAAATTTTCCAATAAAAAATTCATTTAATTTAAGATTAAAAAAAGAAGTATTACATGTTTTAACCGCATAAAAATTCGTCAGTCCCCATACCAAAACATGATATTTTACGTTACTACGTACTTTTGATCCACAGAGAGGGACAGACAGCACGAAAAATCCACGACAGGTCACGGACAAACATCCCAGAAAGGTCTACGGGCATGGATGGACACAGGCAGAAAAATCTTACTCATGCAGATCTTTCCTGCACTCTTTTAAACAACATATTCCTCGAAAGAATTGGTTTGGAATTGACGCCACAATAACTTAAATACTAGAAATGCCATTGTTTCAAAAAAAATGAGAAAAAAATGTAACGCTTTTCGTAAAAAAGTCTTTTTCTCATTGAGTTTAAGGTTTCAAGACGAAACATAATATCACCATGTTATGGCATTTCTCGGTGTGCTCCAAAAAGGGTCTATTAAAACTTGTATTGCAGAAAAATCTAAAGCTAGTTGCTTAACAGACTAAGCTTTACGTATTGGAACACCAGTTTAAATAAAAGTATACAATGTGTCCTCCGTACGGTAGCGTATGCATCATGAACGCTCGTGGAGTTAACAAGTAGTATTAGAAATCGACGAATATTACTAGCAAAATTAAAAAATATTTCAGATTTACTTAGGAGCCATTGCACGTAAGCCACGACCGACGTTCTTCAATCGATATTCTCGAAACTTTTCTAAAGTAGGGGGCTTTTGTAGACCACATTTTAAGGAATTTTGGTGAAAGGCGCAAATCAAAAAGTTGCATCGTTGCTGAGATATTGATATTTTACGAAAAACCCTGAAAAACGTAGATTCCGCCATCTTGAAAATTTGCCAAATTTAAACTCTTCTAACGCAGTAACAAGTTGCAATTTTGCCCAAAAATGACCATTTTGAGCGATTTTGAGAAATGATTTTCTCCATGGAAACGGGACAATTCTGAAGCCCCCTAGTATACTGCTGAAGTACACCAAGTGTACTATCATAGTCCATCCTGCGATTTGTGGGTTTCGCTAAAATGGCTTAGGGGGCACGGTCGGGGGCACCGAGTTCTAGAGGCT